ACTTTTGTCTTAAAATTTTGGAGTATAAATGAAAGGTTTTGACTATCTGGAATCTTGGCTTGCTATAGAATAACTCAGTTCCCAATAATTCAGTTTAAACATGTTAACTGAGCACCTACGATGTGCATGGCCTATTAGCCATGTACGGCAGCAGGAGAGGGGTCAGATTAGATACACCACTCCTGGGTTGATGAGGGGACCCCTGAAAAGCCCAGAGTCTCCTTGGTAGTGTGACAGTCCCCACTGGGCCCCAGCCAGCCTTCCCATCCACAGCAGCAAGGGATAGAGAAAAACTGACTATGCCTTCTAGAAGAAACATTATCAGGGGCAGGGATAGGGACAATCATAGGACACTTCACGGTACAAATCTAGAAAATACTAGCTTGCCAAAGTCTTCACTGTGCATAATAGATTTCTTATTCCAAGGTAGTCTGAACTACATCCTCAAAAATTATGTGAGGGGAGTAAACTCAGGCAGCACCCATGTGTACACTGTTCTTCTGGGAGAAACAAAATTTGCAGGAGGAAAGTGGCATTCATGATGTCTTCCAGAAATCAAAAGATCAGGAAATGCAGATAAATTCCTAGGGGCAGGCAGCTGATAGGGACAGTTATTTACAAAAGCCTCCAAGGCCCAAGGGCTTGGTTTCTGCACTGACCTGGTTTTTGGTTCAAGTGCCAACTTGCCTCTTCCAGTAAAGTTTTCCCCTCCAGGAAGCTCCTATCGCATGCAGCTCAGAAAATGATCTTTGTCTGTCCTTTCTGCCTTCTGTCTAGAATTTCTTGCTCTTAGCGGCCAACACTGATTAGACTGAAGACTGATGAAGAGTAACTGTGGCTGGAGGAGTGGACAACAGCACAGCTGGACCTGCCCTTACCCTTGTGTGGGTCCAGAGGGCACAGCCACTGTGCCTCCTCTCCCATGAGTGCCCACTGTCCCCAGGGACATTAGTCACCAGGAAACCTCTGGCACTTGAAGACACACCTGAGCATGGGACACCTTCCCCACCTATCTCCTCCTTCCTTTCCGGTGTCCCTTACATGTTCTTTTTGCAGCTGTCCTCAGCCTTACTCTGGTGAGCTTGCCTGTGGGCCCCTAGAAAAAACTTCCATGAAGGAAAAAGTGTGTGCAGTGTCCAATCACCATGCAGCCCAAAACATCCTGCTCAACATTACATACATGGAGAACTTTGTACGTGTCACTTGATGCCACGGTTAAGGGAGCGAAAGTCAGACAAGTGGGCTCAAAGCCTTGTCCTGACACTTCTTTGGTATGTAATACTTATTGAGATGGGACCACAGACCACCCAGCTTCTAGACAGGTTACACACTTGTTCAATAAAACTTGATTTCAATTTTCTGATGATTTGCCTGTCTTGGCTTCTGTCTCTGAGCCTGGTGTTGTGGGAGGAGAAATCAAAGAGTGAGAAAAACACATGGTCTCTGCCTTTATCAAACTTAAAGCCGAAAACAGGAGCCAGCAAACTTTTTCCTGTAAAGGGCCAGAGAGCAAATCTTTTTTAGTCTTTGCCTCACAGATTGTCTTGGTTGTAACTACTCAACACTGAGAGCAGCCAGACAGTAAATGAGTGTGCATGGCTGCATCCCCAGCAAAACTTATTCACAGTAACAGGCAGCAGGTCAGATCTAAGCAGTGGGTCAGTGTGACAACCTCTGGTCTAAAAGAATAATCCACCAGGAATACATGGGGTTTACACCTTGAATGCTAGTTTACAATTAGGGAATTCACTAATGTAGCATGCGTGGTTACAAGAGTGATAAAGAGCATAGACTTGGGGCAAGTCTGATCTGCTTTAGAATTGTAGCTCCATCACCTCTTTGCTCTCTTAGCAATTTACTAAACCTCTCCAAACCGCAGATCGTTCAGTTTAAAAACAGCACGAGAAGCGGCCAATCACCATGTCACCCTGAGTCACTCCTCTTTCCCACCCTGACTACTACATTGGTTGGAGATGTTCAGTCTTACTACCTTAGTGTGGCTAAATGCTCCAATCTTAAACCAACATTGATGGGAAATTTTAAAGGCCTAACCAATGATGTTTCTCATACATGTCCTGCCTACAACCGAATTCTGACAAAACCATGGAGTCTGAAGCCAGAGCCTCAGGGTCCCCTTTACTCTCCTCCAAAAGGACTGCATTCAGTTGTCCCTAACAATGAGATCTACGTTTTGGTCATTATGTCTACTCAAGGATGGATCAAAACCTCTTCTCAAGCCAGATTTAACAGTGACCGAAGTAGTTCATGTTGCCACAGGCAAACACCATCTTGCTTGATGCTTTCTAGAAATGTGTTCATTTTGATGGTTTAAATTTTTATAGGCAAAAAGTAATCTATATTATTCTAACTTTTTAATCCCAGCTGTCCTACATCCTTTTCCCTTCCTGAAATTATTTTTCATCAGTTTCATGACTTTTCAAAGAAACAACTTTTAGCCATGTTGATCTTCATTCCTGTATTTTAATCTTCTGCTTTAGTTTCTAATTTTTATTCTCATTACTTCTTTTTCTGTTAAATTTCAGCCTTTCTTCTAATGTGAGCATGTGAGGCATAAACTTCTTCAGAATTACTTTAGCTGCATCCCACAAGGGTTGGCATGTAGATATTTTCATTGTCTTCTAATTCCTCTTATGGTTTCATCTTCTATGAATTATTTTTAAATGTTGTAAATTTCCCAAACACGAATTTGTTTTCAAACCTGGTTCTGTTATTATCCTTAATAATACTGCAGTCTGTATGACTTGTTTTGTAACCTAGAACATAAGAAGTATTTGTAAATGCTCCTCAGATGCTTGAGAAAAGTATGTATCCTCTAATTTAGGGATATGCTTCTAAATACCTAATAATCATTGCATTAAACAAAACATAAGATGTAAAAGGAGGGGAACTATTTTTGGCTTTTCTGGAAACTTCAGCATTGTAGGCTACACCCTGAAAGCCTCAAGACCAAAAATATATATATACACATACACATCAATATTGAAGGGGAACCTTCAGTAAATGATTGCTGAACTTTCTGAAGCCACACTCTACCCTGGCTTCCACATACATCGGTCTGTTTGATCCTTACATCACCATATTCCTAGAGAGTATAGTTATTTTACAAGATGAAACTGAGGTCAGATAATGGAAACTCACATTGTCACCAAGCGGGACTATACCCAGGCCCGTGATTCCAAAGCCAGCGATCTCACACGCCCTCCAGGCTGCTGCCCCCGCCTTACCCACCCTACACTTCACCACTGCCCTAATCAGCAGGGAGGGAGCACCAGGTACACCAGCCCTCTGTGGACTCCTCAAATGACAGCCTTTCCATAAAGGTGTTCCAGCAACTTTTTCATGGAATTAGCCTTGAATTCCTCATCTTCTAGTCCAGTGCTCCCACACTGCTTGTAGTGGCAGGTCTCCGGATCTTCACCGGCCGCCGCAGCAGGCTACTTGTGGCCATCAGGCACTCAGAACACGGCTGGTGTAACAGAAGACCTGGATTTTAAAGTTTCATTTAAATCAGTTTAAACAGCGACACATGGCTACTGAGGACCACAATGGACAGCAGTTCTGAATAAGCTCCAGGAAGCACCTATCACTTCTGTTCAGAGCCGTATCCCCAACACCCACAGCAGCGCCCATTAGCAGTGCACGTCCCATGACATTTGGTCTTTGAACACATTATCCTTATATTTGTTGGCGATCCCCTTAAGGGCACAAACTGTTTCATTCACCACTGTACCCATATTTCTAGTATACTGTCTGGTTCACTTTTAAAATGCTTGTTTTTTTTAAATGAGTGAAACTTCACTGTCCAGCTCTCCATTCTGCTCTGAAATTTCCCCAGATGCCTGACCAAGGCACTCTAGTTTCCCAGCAAGGATCTTTGACCTTAAGTCTGGGTCGCTTTGGTTGCAAAGCTCTTCTCAGATTTCCTCAGGCCATGCAGACCTGGGAAGGCTCCTGCTCTGCCGAATGCAGTGGAGCAGGGCAGTGTGACAATGTGGAGTCCAGTGTTAAGTACTGGCCCGTGCTCTGCGGCGGCCCCTGCATAACAGCAAACATTACCGCCATCACGGCAGTCTCTAGGTCACCCAGACCCCTTCTCTTGGCGGCCTTCCAGGTGGTTATAACCAGACCCAGCCAACTAAAAGTCAGACAGCAGAGGATAGCCCTCAGAACAAGACCGAAAAAGGACTTCTGACTTTTGGATGCCTCTCCCAGGAACCGGCTGGCAGAGTGGGGCATTTCAGCTGTGAAGAACGCCTGCCCCTGCAGAGGGTGGTCCATCCTGCCTCAGCTCAGCCAAGGTGGTTTCAATTCCAAATGCAGAACTAGACAATTAACTCCAGCCTTTCATCACAGCCTGTGGGTCCTCATGTAGACCCCTCCACCTAAAACACGAGGATTAAAACTTTCACACTCGCTTGTCCTTGGAACATGATCACATTGTTACAATCATCGATTTCTCTCTCTAAAAGCCCAACCTTGACGACACTCCCAAGGTCCACCAGCAGCAGCTTCACGGTCACCATTCCCCCCGAATCAGTAACCTGTCCTCTCGAGTTCACCCCATGTTATTTCACACCCCGGATAAGCTGAGCAACTTGTTCCTACTTTGCAAACTAGGCCAGCTAGTCATGCAATCAGGTACTTACTCAGGAGCCAGGTCCCAGAACCCCAGGCCCTCAGCTTCCCCAAAGACGACAGCACCGTCACTCCTGTCCACCCTGTCACCCAGCACCCTTCCTAGGCCCTGGCCTGACTGTTCCTCATCATCCTCAACTCTCACAGGTCCTAACCCGAGCCAACCGCCAGCACCTGCTCACCTCCCGTCCTAACTGAACACCTCACACAGCCCACGCACTGAGCCTCCGGGGCAGAACAGGAAAGGCTCCGGGAGTGCAGGCAGGAGCTGACCCATGACTCACTTCCCCCTGCCCAGCCTCCCTTCTACGTGGCTTGTTACTGACTTAAAACACAGGCCAGGCGAATATGTATGGTTTATTGGGTGGGTGGGCAGAGAGGGGAGCAATGAGCATCAGGGAAAAACTTGTTCATTGAAGTCATCCAGGAGAGCAGAGCTGGCCCTCCCTGCCTGCGGCCCTCCGAGGGAGAGCCAGATGAAGTGGACCCTGAGCTCCAGGCCCAGCACTAAGCGGAGTGAACGGAACCATGAGCGGGTGGCAAGGAGAAGCTCTGGGGAAGCTTCCAGCAGGGACCTCATTCTCCATGCTCTGCGCCTCAGGTGTCCATGAACAACAGGAGAATCTAAAATAAAGGACAGGCGAGACCAATGGTTGGGAGTTCCCATCTGCGTAAACGTGACCCAGCCAGCCCTCTGGCGTCAGGCTCCCAGCCCTTGGCATTAAGTCACCTTTGCTGAAGAAATACCAGCAATCCCAGATCCCAAGTCATCCTGAAGGCCACTGACTCATGGCCCTGGCACTTCCTTCTGGATCTGAAGCTGACCTGGGCGGGAGAAGAAGCGCACAAACGTTTAGTCTCCAGCATCACCTTCTCCCCAAGTAACATCACTGAGAAGGTCCCAAATGACAAGTCCCAAGCTCCCAGCTTATGCAAGCCAAACTAGACATCACCAGAATAAACAGGGCGACAGAGGAACAACATCTCAAAAGTCCAGTTTTTAACCACTGCCCTCAGGAGCTTTCCCCCCATACTATCATTACTTCTATGCCCAGCCTGTCCCAAGGCCCCAGTAGCTGTCATCGTATTCTGCAAAGACCACTTAAATGACCCAAACAAGAAAGGCAAATGAAGATAAACTTCCAGCAAGATTGTTAGGTGACCAGATCACTGAAGATCAAGACTGCCAGGCCCACTGAAGGATAAATGAGAAAACATTATTAATGCTTGAAGACATTACCCAAGTGAACCCCAACTCAACACACAGGACTCTATACCTAGAGGTTTAAAGTACCGGGTCTGGGAAGGGGAAAAGATAAACGGTCCTTTCAAATGGTCACCAACGGCCAGGCTCGGTGAGGAACCCCAGGACCAGGACCTAGGCTGTGGGACAGGACAAGCCTCTGATGCAAAAGGGGAAGAGGGCAGGTTTGAAAGACAAGGGAAACCTCAGATTTACTAGATGGCTATCAAGTACCAGGTGGCTCACAAATACTACCCTTACTACCTTTGCATCCTCATGAGATGGGAACAAAAACGTCCGGCAAAATGGGATCCCATCCTCCAATACGAGAGCTGAGTGTAGACGGAAGAGAACTAGACAAGAGTCCTCAGACCAAAAGTACAAGAGTGGGATGGACACCTTGACCTCACCTCCAACCTCGCCTCACCTGTTATGTGGGAGCCAGACATGTCTCTCAGGGGCATCAGGCTGCATCTTCAGACTTCCTGAGTGATGGCACCACTGCAGGGTCTCTGCCTCCCACAGGACACGTCTGCAGCACAGAAGGAGGCAGAAGGTCAGCCCATGTGTCGATGGCTAACTACAGGGTTAGGGCCCCTGTCAGCCAAATAATATTCTCACTAACGTGAACCAGAAAGCAAAGCTGGGGAGCCCTGAGTCTACAAATGCAGATTCACAGAACCACAGGCTTGGAAATTTCTTCTCTAGTGAACCCCCAGGGCCACCCTTTTAAAGAGAACCCAAAAAAGCACAGATTAAAAGGAGAGCTACGAAGAGGTTGGTCCGTCAAAGCTCTCTTCTCTCATGAGTGACTGATTCCTCGGGCTTCTGGTAGACTGTGACAAATGGAAAGTTCTTTATTGATTCAGAATTGACAGAACTCATCTATGCCCCTTTATCTGGCCTCCACATTTATTTCCTTTCTCCTTATATTCTACACCATAGCAGCTCCGGGAGATTGTGCTCGAGAAAGAGTAAAAGAGCAAAGGGAACACACAAACGAGCATGCAAGTCACAGCTGTCATGAATAATCATTATGGACTCCCCTCCACTCCTGTAAATTCATGAAGGAGAGCCCATGAATCAGTTCCCACACACATCCTTCAGCACTACCTGAACTTACCCCAAATATATAGACTGGTTTCTGTCAAGAGGCTCCTTAACTTCAAAGACAAAGTGAACCCCTGCAGTTCTGGGGGCTAGCCCGGTCACCGTATCACAGTGGGGCCAGCAAAGGCCCGAGCTCTAAAGGGACTGGCAGGAGAAAGAAAAGCTAGTGTTGGAAAGCTCCAGGGTTTGGAAGGGACCACTGGGCCCTTCAAACACGGGGAAATGTCTTTCAGCGATTCCTCTCCCTGCACTATCAATGACCAGGGCACGGGCAGCCCGCGATCACTTTCGATGCAGGAACAAAAAAGGACAGAAAGAGCCAGGAAGGACAGGAGGCTGGTGACAGGGGCCCGGGCAATGGCCTAAGTTAGGGAGACCGCCCAGCCAAGCAGAGAACCAGCAGCTTCTGCTATTATCTTCCAAAGACTCCATAAAACCTCCGTCCCAGGCAGGGGAAGTCAAAACACTTGTGGCATAAAATTCAAAAAATGCCTTTGGGCTGAAAAAGATCAGGCTCATGTGGTCATGACACCACCATGAAAAATTTTTTAAAAACTTCACTGCTATTCCAGCTTTGCTTTTCAGATAAAGAAGTGAAGTTTGAGATGGGGTCACAGAGCTAGCTAGGTTCAGAGGCTGGACCAGAGTCTCTGGTGCCTAAATCCACATGCTTTCCATCACAGCAGCACTCGGAAGGCAGATGCCCCGGGAGATTACCCAAGCAGACTTCGAGAGGCCCCTCCACTGAAGCATACAAGGGACT